TACACCATATTGTTATTGACATTGAGCATACATTTTTTTAAATTAAATTTGACTATTCTTACCGTTAGATAATTCCTGGCAATAAGTGGTGACTGAGTTTGTTCCGGCGTTTCTTCTCAGCACTTGCCATATGTTTGTCTCGAAGCGCTGGTAGGGCCCAAAAGATAAGGAGACATGTAAAGTGCCCCATAAGGGCTACCTTTTTCTTTTTTTATTATTTTCTATTGACGTTCATAAGTGCCACTTGTGGTCTAAACTGAATAAATATTTTTTATCAAATTAGTTTTCAATAAGTAAAATGCTTTACATTCAATAAATAGAATATCTATTGAGCTAAAAAGTAGCATCATAACATAGGTCTTTGGCTGGTTTTAGAGTAGGCGCACACCGTTGATTTTTCGTCGGCCGATAGTTTAGTCGGGCAGTTGATCAGTATGGTATGGGAGTGCGCACACTACGCCGATTCGATTTGGCCGATTCTTCATACAAATTAAAATAGGGCACAAATATCGGCCAACTAAAAATCAACGGTGTGCGCCTACTCTTAGAGTCACGCTGACGCACGCTGACCGTCAGCGCTGACAGCCGAATTGTATGAAGCGTCGGCTCCGAGCGATCAGCGTCACTCAGGAACGTTCCCTTCAATTGCATTGTACATATTGATCTGTCAGCGCCGACGATCAGCGTGCGGTCAGCGCGACTGTAAAACCAGCCTTTATTGATGGAATAGATACTCTTGTTGCACATCACACAAATTAATGGAGTCAAAAATCTTGACATCGTTATCGCATCGCATAAACACGGCTTAATGTGGGCATGGGCTAGGCTAGAAGCCAATATCAATGGATTCTGGAAAACAGAACAAATACACGCTTTCTATCACTCTTATCGTAGTCACATACCCTAGTCAAGTCGAGCTGCTCCAACTCGTCGAAGCCGGGCTCGCGCGGGCCCAGCGACGCCAGCGCCGCCGCGCCGTATTCCGGCAGAAGCCCTGTGACCACGAACGCCTTGCCGGGCTTCAGCTCGCACGACAGCCTGAAGAGACATACATGCTTTTATTTACTTCATGTTTCCATGTAAAGCTGACACATCAGATATTAAATTTTTGGTTGCAAAATATTGCATCTGTATTCGATGACCTACCTAGTGTTTATTTTTTAGATATCTTTTGCTACGAGAATGCAAACGTACGTACCTAGTTGTGTAGGACTTCTCTCTACATGATGAATCAAAAACCTTATCTTTTTTGTATTTTTTTTTTTGTTTAAACACATTTATTTATTTATTTGATGGATGGATGATGAAAGATAAGACACCACACAAGACAAGAAAATAAAAAGAAATAAATATACTATAACAGCACATTTAGGCGGTCGTAACTCTATAAAGCGACCTCTTCCAGGCAAACTAGACCAGGGTTTCCCAATTTTTTTTTTTTGCCAGGGAACCCTAATTGATTATACTTTTCCTAGCGAAACCCCCGTACTACTCCGCCCGCACGCCCTGCCCCTCCCTTGTGCGTAAACAAGTCGGTGCACGCGAACAACGTCGGTCACGAAACGTGAGATAATATTTTTTACGGAACCCTTGCGGCCTTTCCACGGAACCCCAGGGTTCCGCGGACAACCATTCGGGAACCGCTGACTTAGACGACAGTTGTTATGAATAGGTAAAAAGGGAAGAAATACAAGTCCTAGACTTACTCATTCAGATGCTGGCAGAGTTTCCCGCCGCTCTTCTGGTTGACCTCCTGCGCGGCCGCCGTCAGCTCGAACTTGGAGCCGGCCTCGTACACTCCCAGCACCAGGCCTTTCTGAAGCATCAACGGACAACGGGTCCACGGATTAGCAAGCTAGTGGCAATGGGCAGGGCACATAGCACGCAGAACTGACGGCCGATGGGGCAGCAAGGTACCGGAAAGCGCAGCGTAGGACATCCACCCACAAGGTGGACCGATGACCCAAAGGTAGTGGGAAGGTGCTGGATGCAGGCCACCACCAACCGGCCATTGTGGAAATCATTGGGGGAGGCCTGTGTTCAGCAGTGGATGTCCTATGGCTGAAAATGATGATCATGATGATGATGAACGAAAAAACTTAAAGGTTTCTCATTGCCTCATGGATGCTACCTACTGTACCTTTTGTAAGTTGCTGTGAAGAAACTGCATACCACCTATCTCAGGCATGTGTGTTCATTTCAACCAAAAACCTCCAAGGATTTCCAAACAACACAATCAGGTGTGTTTTATGATGTTTGTATCAATCATCTAATCTTAGCATCTATAGTAATGATCCAATGAAAAAATACAGGGTGTTTGGCGCATCGTGTGCCAAAATGATTTGGCGGATAGAATGGGTCATTTCCTATATTTTCCGTCCCCATAACACGTTCCATGCCAGGCGGCTACTTTTATATTAATTTTTAGTAATTTCACCAAAATACCCAAATCGCATCATTTAATTTCAATTTAAAAAAAAACTACTAGGCGTAGCCTCAAAGTAAATATTTTGTGAAGTTTTTACCTGCTTTGAACTTATTGTAAAGTAAAAAAAAAGGTTCAAAATTCAAAATTTTAATATCAGTCCGAGTAGAGTCAATGCACTAATTTAAGGAATTTGTGAAGTTGTTGTTATTATTTAAACAAGATTAGTATACCGTTTGAATGGGGATAGACTAAAGAAGTTTTGATAAAATCCGAAGATCGCAATCTCTTTTAATTTTTTTATTATAGCCATGTAAACTTGATTGTTCAGTCCATTTTTAACTTTTCGGAAAACTTTAAAGCTGAATTAAAAAAAAAACTTGATGATATTAGCCAGTAAATTTAGATTTGATGCAACCTTACATCAATGCACGTTAAAACAAAATATTTACATTGAGGCTACGCCTAGTAGTTTTTTTTAAATCGAAATTAAATGATGCGATTTGGGTATTTTGGTGAAATTACTAAAAAAAATCATATAAAAGTAGCCGCCTGGCATGGAACGTGTTATGGGGGCTGAAAATATAGGAAATGACCCATTCTATCCGCCAAATAATTTTGGCACACGATGCGCCAAACACCCTGTATATCATTTCAATCTAGATGTTAAACATGGGTCTGTAAAACATTTAGAGTTAATCAAAATAAAAACAAAAGGAAATTCAAAATCACCTTCCTGCCATCTAAAGCTTTTTTGTCTGATGTGCACTCCTCTTCATTGGCCGAATCATCCTTTGGTGCTTCATAGCTACAATATCTTTTTGGAATGGCTTTGTAAATTAAACTTTTACCAATGTATCTTCCACTGGAAAACAATTTAGAAAGATTCATTATTAAAAATAAACTTAGAAAAAAATCATGAATACAAATAATTTCCAAATTGTCATAAAGTTTAAGCCAACTGGATTTTTTGTGGGAATAGAAAGATTTGTTTGATTTGAATATGGAAGGCTGAATGCACATAAAAGTTTAGTATAGTTTAAAAATATTCAAACACATGTATCTAACTTCAACAATTTATTGCATTACCACACAATTGCATTGGAATAGCTGCTTTAATGTTTGTAAATAAGTAAACGAATACTGAAACAGGTAAAATGATACATGCAATATGTTGATATGTACTTACATTGATATTTTTATTCAGTGAACATACACAAATTGAAACAAATTGTAGGAAATCATCTTTTATTACCAATATTTAGCTTAAATGTGGTGGTTTTAGGCACATGTCTTATTGTTAAAGATATTCTGGTATCTCTAGGAATAGTAGATCCTGTGGTGTAATTATTAGAACACATATTTAGATTAGCAATTGTGTCATCCAAGTTATCTTCTGTCAGTTCTTCTATACAATGCAGATAATGGCTGAACAGTTCATCTTGTAATATTAACAAACTTCTAGGTTCCAACAGCAAAGAGAATGCATGTGTCATGGAGACATCATTTTCATCATCACCAGGTTCCAGAAACTTCAGCACAATATGCGATCCGAGCGATATGGTCGTGATTGTTGGGTAAAACAGTGAGCCATCTAAATGAGGCATAATTCCTTGACCTGGTAAGTATTCATTCACCAGCACATGATTAGGTCTCTTGCCATCCATAACGTCCAGGCTATGGATTCGCTCGAGGTAGGTGTCCAACCAAGGAGGAATGGTCTCGGCTATCATTCCCTTGGCGTGTGGAATACCGCCCCAATTCTGCAAGCGTCTATTAGAAAGTTGCGTCCACTTTGGTTTTGGGGCCGAATAAATGTTAGATAGAATACCACTCTCCTCAGCAGCTGAAACGAACTCCGATACATAAAATGCTGATGGTGGTATCTGGAAATAATAAGAGGGTAACTGTAAAACACTAGCTAAACAAGTACATTATCAGTTTAAAATGGACATAGGTTATGTTGGAGGTACTTTACATTGGACACTCGAAAAGTCTCGATATTCGCTATAACTTTATTCGCCATGTGATTTTTTATGAAAATTATATCCTACCACAATTTTTTGTCGATTTGTTTGCAAATAATTAAGAAAATTTACGAAAAACAACAACCAGCTGACGCATTGACTTTGACACTGACAACAATTTTTTTTGACGTAGTAAACGTTTTGTTGTTCTCACTCATACCAAACCAAACCAGGAAATTCAAATTTCTGGCATTTCTTCCAACAATCAATTAGAAATTCAATATCTCACTTCTCACTTTGTATACTGTGTGTGATGGAACATTATCTATTTACATAAATTCCTAGTTTTAATGCTTGGTCATAAGTATACAAAGCAATTAAACCAAACGCTGTTGACATTTTCTTCATTCCTATTTGCGTTTAGTTTTACTGTCATTACAACTTATTTTACAGTATTTTTCTGGCAAAAAAATCTCTTTAACAACAAAGTCAACAAACCTATTACTCAATTTATTATAAGTTAATAAAATAACAATTTCCTTCCATTATTGTCACATATTTTTTGTTGTTTAAATTACACATTCTGTAACTTTTTTTAGTGATGAAACAAAACATATACAGCTAATCTTTTTTGACAGAAGCGCACGGAGATAAAATGTTATTTGTTAAATATTTTTTTGTAAATATTTGCTAAAAGAGTAATTGTAGAATGTGATCACAATGGGCGGTTGCATCGGTATAACTAGGAGCAGAAGCGGGCCAATAGAAGAATCCTCGGGAACGGTGTCACGTCCCAATTCTGGTACGTGGTGCATCACTGTCGCCGTGGAGACGGGTATCGGCGGTATACTGAGTGTGTTTTCGTTGCAGGCGGGTTGAGGAAGAATCAGTCGCTCTGCCACGAGACGATAAGGTGGAAATCGGACGTGCCATTGACCGAAGGACAGTTGCGGAGTAAACGGGATGAGTTTTGGGATACAGCACCAGCGTTCGAAGGTCGGAAAGAGATCTGGGACGCACTGCGGGCGGCGGCGGTGGCGGCCGAGGCGATGGACTTCCAGCTAGCGCAGGCCATCCTTGACGGCGCCAGCGTGTCGGTGCCCAACGGATACCTCACAGAGTGCTACGACGAGTGGGGCACGAGATACCAGGTATTCATGTTTCAACCATACCATTTAAAAGTAAAAAATACCACCAAGCATTGGCCAAGATAAATCCGATGCCTGCCAGTTTGATAAAATGAGCTTTAAAGGAAAACTTTGCCTGATATTCAATGGAATTGATGTTAATTATTCACAGAACATGACCCTGATAGTTGCTATCTTACATTTTGCTACAATTGTGCTATAAATTAAACTGAACATTAATGTTTGAGTCAACATAGTAGCATGAACTGTGAGTTATTCCCAATGCATCAATTATTGTGATAGTCCACTGAGCTATTTCTGATTTTGTTCAATATCAACTATAAAAAAATAATTCATGTTGAAACTTAATTATTTTATTCAAGTTTAATGAGAATGTATCTTAAAATATAATTTGTTAATTTAGGTAATTACAGTCAGGGCTTTCCTGTTTTGTTAATTATGAACACATTGAATGCTATGGGCCTGTCAATTACAAGCCATTAACAGGAAGCTGGTGATTGCACTGATATCTCAATACACATTATCAATGTGACCTGGATTACCCCCATTGTTCAAGATAACTTGCTAAAGAACATTCAACATGCTATTATGGCAAACCAATGGAAAAACATAATTTTCCTCTGTTAGTAAATGCATGTATCAAGACTTCATGCCTAGTTAAATGCCCCTTGTTAAGATTTAAAATTTTGTATGTATGCTACTTTAGAATAGCTAAAATAAACCATTTCTAAAGTGTTTATTAATTGGATTTTCATTTTATTACAATAAATTATGCATTACAACTAATAAATTATTCAAATTTAATTAATGATTTGATGTCAAAATCAATTATTGAAGTTTGTATTGTTTATTAATTATATTATGCTTGACCTCAAATTTATTGCACGGGAAAGTTTTGTTGGGGTTCCATTGTAGTTTTTAGTTTTAGTAATTTGTATTGTCTAAAGATAGATTTAGAAGTTTATTGGAAAACTAGAAATAAAAATTATTAGTAGTAAACAATTTCAGAAAATAACTTTTATCATTAGCAGCTGTAGGTAGGAAAATATCCTTAGTTTATCTGTGTCACCTTATTAATAAATGAACTTTTTATATGTCTAGTAATCATGTGATGCAATTTAAATTCAGGAACCATCCGTATGTGATTATAATTCTCACTTGGCCAGTTATCTTTTGTAACTCATTCATATCACACAATTGAATCAACAAACTAATGGCTCTTCATAAGAATTCATAGTGAGAACTGCAGTTGAATTGAAAGTAATATAACATTTATATTTGGCTGTGTGTTGGCAAATACATCCTGTTTAGCTGACCATATTTGGACGATGACTATACAACTCCAAATACAGTTTCATATTTATTCGTGCCATTACAAATAAAACTTAACTTTATTATTGAATGTTCGAGTGTGCCTAAGAATGTTTTGTCAACTAAATAATTACTTTTGGAAAAAATAGTGATGCTAAATAAATACAATCTCACACTGAGAAAGGAGCATTAAATCATTATGCCATTAGCAGTTTTATCAGACAGAAGGAATGTTTAAACATAGAAATAGCTTTACATGTTTTTTAAACAATGACTCATAAGACAAATATTTAGGATAATTCTTTACCATTACTATTTAATGTAGAAACTAGAAAGTAGTTTTTTTGGGTCAGTGGGTTTTTGATAATTTGTACATTATAATTCATAGATATCATAGAATTATAATTCATAGATATCATAGATAAAGTAGCACTTTGCTCTAAGGGCATGTGCACATCACCTACCTTCAATGTAGGTAGACCTTAGAAGAATAAAAACGTGCCACCGTCATTCGGCGCGCGTTTTAGGAACGCGCTGTGAACAGGCCCTAAGGCTGCGTTTCCACCAGAGATGTGCGAGGATGCGAAGCGAGGGATGTGTTTGTAAAGAACCAATAGATTCGCTTCCATTCGGTCAGCACAGCTCTTGTGGTAATGGCTTGCGGCATGTGTTGCGAGGTTTGCGCATACTGTACCACACATTACTGCGCAATTTCACACATCCTCGTACGACACATTTTTCTCGCACAGCTTTGGTGGAAACCCCCACACATTTCACAGTCAGGGCACAGCTAGACATCCTCGCACATCTCTGGTGGAAACGCAGTCTAATGGCGCATCCACAAATGCCGTGCGGCCAACACGGCACACTGGCAAGGCATTTTGAAAACCGGCGGCATGTGTTGACACGCCATAAGACGTAGCCTCCTTCCAGGTGCCGATATACTGCCTGTCGCCGCCCATCAACATGGTAAAGGAGGCGAGCGGACGCGACTCGCCGGCGGAGTGGTCGGAGCCGGTGGACGGCGGCGCCGAGCTGGCGCTGCGTCTGCGCCTGTCGCACACGTGCCGTGACGTCACGCTCAGCGCGTACTCGAGGCACACCGTCGCGCAGTGCAAGAATAAACTGCACGTGAGTATACCGCTTTATTGATAACTGCACATTTTACACCATCTAAAGCCCGATCTGTGAGCACGTAGAATTTTGTCCAATGACCCCTAGCTACCCATCCTTATCGCTCGCGCGTAATTATATTGCTGGCAGTGAGTGTGCGAGCGCGATAGCAACATAATTACGCGCGAGCGATAAGGATGGGTAGCTTGGGGTCATTGGACAAAATTCTACGTGCTCACAGACCAGACTATAGTTCCTCGACTGGCAACCTACGTAATGTGGGAAGAACCTGGATGCGGGCAGCGCAAGACCAGTCATTGTGNTCATTGTGGAAATTCTCGGGGAGGCCTTTGTTTGCCTTTTGGCTGAAGCTGAATTGCTGATGATAGAAAATCACACGCTTATCATTCTCGGCACACTTATCATCCCGCGAGGATGTAGACAGGCTAAACTTAAATATGGTTTGTAATTCTAACGAGTTATAAAACTATACTCGACCATTTTAGAGCCCCTAATAATTTTAACCTTTCCAGTGAGTCAATGTTAAACTGCAAACAACAAAGAAATTAAAGTGATGCCTGTTCAAGAAGCATCTGCATCAATTTCCTCATCTGTCCATACTTCGCTGGTACCTATTATATTAATAACGTCACAGTAAACTGGCTATTCCACTTTTTCCACATTCCACACAATTCGCGACTGTGCGACGTCAGCGCCTCAGCGGCAGCGGCAGCAGTGAGTGTGCGAGCGCGACAACAATATAATTACGCGCGAGCGATAAGGATGGGTAGCTTGGGGTCATTGGACGAAATTCTACGTGCTCGGCGACCGGACTTTAATAGAGTATATTAATCTCCCCAGGCGCAAGAGAATATCGAGCCGTGGCGGCAGCGGTGGTTCTACGGCGGCAAATTGCTTGGCGACCGCTTACTGCTGGAGGAGGCTCGTATTACACCCGGCTACGTCGTGCAGGTCATCGTCAGCACCGACCCGCAGCCGCCCAGCTAGTCGCCAGGACGCACCGGTAGGCATCTTCGATATCCAACCCTGACCCGAAGGATTTAGGTTCAGTTTGAAGTGCAGCGTTCTCTTGCAATAGTATACAGCTCCTTTTACATCTTTGATAAAATTCTACTCTGATACAAAGGATTTAGGTTCATATTCCTTGCATAAGGTTTCGTTTACCGACTCGCAGCCGACCAGCTAGTCGCCAGGACGCACCGGTAGGCATCTTCGATATCCAACCCTGACCCGAAGGATTTAGGTTCAGTTTGAAGTGCAGCGTTCTCTTGCAATAGTATACAGCTCCTTTTACATCTTTGATAAAATTCTACTCTGATACAAAGGGTTTAGGTTCCATATTCCTTATAATAGAGTGTTTCGTTGACTGACCCGCAGCCGCCCAGCTAGTTCACAAGACACACTGGTAGGAATCTTCGATAATAAAATTCAACCCTGACTCGAAGGTTTTAGGTTCAGTTTGAAGTGCAGCGTTCTCTTGCAATAGTATACAGCTCCTTTTACAACTCTGACAAAGGATTTAGGTTCATATTCCTTGCAAGGGTTTAGGTTACTGACCCGCAGCCTCCCGATTCGCCATCTGGTAGGCATCTTCAGTCAACCCTAACACAAAGGATTTAGGTTCAGTTTGAAGTGCAGCGTTCTCTTGCAATAGTAGACGAAGGTTTTCAAATTAGATTTATTCTAAGTACAGCTTATTCTTTTAATAGAATAGAATTTTTTGGTCCGCTAATTGGTGCAGGACATCGTTAGCATCAACTTTCGAATCTTTGCAAATGTAACGCTACTATAAAGAAGTAAGGTTCATTTTAAAGGCTGTTAACGTCTATACAAATATTTAGGTCGCTGTGTTACATTACATTTGATATACTATTGCAAGATTGCTCTCTATAACTTATTTTCATTCAATCATTGTGTATAATATTGATAGTGGCAATAAAATTCTTTAGGGTTGCCACTTTATAAATATCGTAGATAGCGCACTTTACCAATGATAAAAGTAGTATTTCTTGTTTCTTTAGTCTTATTCAATGTGTAGCAGAAAACGTTAGTACTCATGAAAAAAATAAATAGATTCAACACCATTTTAGCTTATGGCTGTTTTATCCCTTCTCATAATACTGATTACTCTGTGATAAAAGAAATAAAATAATAAATAGTCAGTTCAAAAGGTGATGATGTTAACAAAGTTTCCATGATATCGGGACTGAAACATGTTGCTATTACAAATATTTAATACGCAAAAAGAACTATTTTTATCATTGGGTCTTTAAAATTTTAAATATGTAGATGTCTACCAATAAAGCTAAAAGCCATTCACGTTCAGGACATTAATCTAAAATAAATGTAACTGATCAACAAAAAAATATAGGATTCGATTAAATTGTTGTTATAAAATGTGTAATTGAAATAATGCAAATTGCAAAAACACACCACTACTGATATTTGAGCTTCATTATTTATTTATTCGGATGACTATAAAGCTATTTTTTTTTATTTCTTGTCTTTTGTTTATGGTCTGTGGCTACAACTTATATGACGTATTCACGTGTTGCCATACTGAGATTCGGAAAACAAAATTGAATAAAAACTAGCATAATCAATTTTTTTCTCGATTCCTAACAGTCTCGAAAGTAATATTGCATATTGCAATTCAATTACATGTCATACATTAATATTTAGTTAGTAATATTTTAACACTACAAATTATTTTGATATTTAAATGTGTACAATAGTGCTTCAGTTACATACATTGGATGTAAAGATTATTTTCCTAAAAATAATTTGTTTTATTTTCTATTTTATTATAATGGGGTTAATTTTTTATCTCTATTTTGCGTTAGTTTGTTTTGTAATCTGTTGTTATTTAATAAATGTTCGTGCGTCTACTCCGCAAAACGGTTTCGATATAATTTGATCTCTGTCCCTCTCATTAATATTCCAGTGTGAGTGAGAGAGACAAGGATAATCGAATGTTCCAAAATCTTTCTGCGGAGTATGTGCTTTTGAAATAATGCATTATCGATCGTGGGAATAAGTTTTATTTGATTCAAAACTCGTTACAAAAATCTTTTAATCGTTCCCTCGTTCTAAAGGTCCGTATGTGACTTCCTGTGTTGTGCTTTCAGTCACAAATAACAGTGCTAAGGTCATCATATTACCAATTGTTCTTAAATCTAAAAAATGCCCCAAAGTAGTTAATAATATCTTGGGATGACTGCATTAAATAAGTTTGTACTAACTACTAAGGCCTTACTCCGTAAAACTATTATATTATTCGATTACTTCTGTCTTTTTCACTCAAACTAGCATATTTCATGAGCGAATGAGACGAGCGGAGTCGATAACAAGTTTTGCGAAGTACGCCCCTGCTATAACGACTATAAAATCAAATATGTATGTATGTATGTTGTATGTGCTCATACATGACTGTCTACATTGAGTGTGAAGTGAATGATTCTGTACTTTTAGTTAGATTTAATACAACACTCATTATTTATTGAGAGGTATGTTATAAAATTTGAATGGCTCATTAGATTTCTTGTAATAAATTCAATAATGAGTGCTCACTGTGTATTATTAGTCTCTCTCGCTCTCGGACATTTCCTTTTTCCTAGTACAGTTAGCGTGAAAAATAGTTTATGACAAAAGTATACTTTTGCCTGACTGGCCTAGACGACTTAAACCAAAGCAAAATATTAACTTATTATATCTACATAAGTTCCTAGTGTATGCTTTTTATTCAGACGTCATTTTAATCAAATGATGTTATGCGGAAGGGAACCAGTTTTCATTTTATTGTTATCGATGGCCACATTTGCTTAGATTACACAGTGAGCACCCTAGACTCAGTTAAATCATAATATAAATATTATCTTACGTATGATGCGAGCGACGGGTTACTTTTGTGTGCGCTCGGCAAGGGGTGTATAGTTTTTATATTATGTCGGGTTGTATGTCGCCGAGTGTACACGTCGCCTGTTAATAAGTTTTGCAGAAATTATGTCACAAAGTTAACATTTGCACTGCTGTTATTTTTTAATATAACACTAAATCTTATAACATTTTGTTTTATCACTCGTCGCTTGGGTAGCGGAGTGAAAAAGTATATGTATGAAAAATCATACTTATCTTGTATTAAAGCAATGCAAATTAATGCTTGTAAATAGCCAGGTAATAACGCTTGTAAATAATATTGCACATAACAGTACATATACCAAAATTGATATTATTGTTTGTGACATAATTTTTGTTCCCTTTCTAATAGTTGCGCGCGCGCAATGCTGCGACTGCCATGTATTGTGATGTTGTGAGAACTTTCTTAATACTTAATAATTATAACATATTTTTTATTTTGAATATTTTAATCAATCCTAGATTTTAATTTTGTACACGGGTGTAGCGACGCGTGCGGTTTTTAGTAGTAAAGTTTTATTTATTATTTTTTATTAATAATATTTTAATAACCAAAATCAAAATTTAAATAGCATGTCAGAATATTTATATCATTAACTGCACGACTGTGTAACTATAGGTACTCAGACTACCCTTATTTCATAGCTTATAATAAAGTCGCACGCGTAGCAATGCAACGACTGTGGCGCGGACTGATATTTTTTTTCGCTTTTCTAACATTTTTATAGTCATTTGCTATAACTTAAGAACTGCGAGCTATTAAGCTCATCATGACCTAAAGCATTAATAATGCTTTAGGTCATGATGAGCTTAATAGCTCGCAGTTGCATAAAACCATCACAATGAAAACATTCATGTACATTACATAATCATATTATTAACTCGAGCGAAATTCATGTCAGTCCCAGGGTCGTCCCTGCAGTGACATATTTGAATACGAATTTGTTCATCCTGTAGCTTATACTAAAACTAGAGTTATGTAGATCGCACACGAGTTGATATGCGCAAAATTATAACGTTGTTAAGCTGTTTAGGAAATTAATTCTTATATTTAAAGTTTATCGTAAGTTCAGTTCATATTCTGTCGATTGGTGTCGGTAATTTTGACATTAAAATTTAACCAACAACTGCTTTTTAACGAGTGTTAACGAAATGTTATTTCAATGAATAGGAATCGAAGAAATTAAGTTTTAATGTCAAATTACGAGCACTGATAAAACTTTGAAGATTCACCCGCCATTCCTTGACAAATCCAAGTTTGATTCCATTCCTCCTCGAACCGTAAATGTTAATGTTGAATAAGTCTAAATTTGGAAATGTTGTGATTTTAACAGTATGTAATAGGGCATTATAGGCTTATCCGTTTTAACAGTCACATGACAGTCGTCATGCCACACTGAAATACAGCTTTTTAGAATATAAATCAGGCATGTTGTAGTTTTGGAAATAAAATAATATCTGAATGACTGCAAAATATTTAAATTAAGTAGTTAGGTTAAGAGATTTATTGGGTTGTAGCTAAGAATATCATTTATTTGTATAAATGACCATTAAATTATATTCAATTTTTTTTTAAATAGACAATAACACTGATAACAAAATAGGTCCACCTATTATTTAGGCTGTGAACATATTGTTTGTTTATAAAGTATAAAACACATTTTTCAACATTTTACTTACTTACTGCATAAATCTGAATTTTGTTCTCAGCCTAATGCCATCAGGAAATTTTCAAAAATACATTAAATATTACGGGCCAATATAATTATTATAATATTTTTCTCTTGTAGATAAAAAAATGCGTAATATAAGATTTAATTGAAATGTTAAACTGAAGTTGTTTCTACATTGATGTATAAATAAAACTGTATAGTAATATTTGGAATGATAGTTTGTTGCATAATGCGGTCGACACAGAGAGCATCAATGTCAGTGCACATATAGTTGCGAGTTGGACAATATTTGGCAACGCGACTTGTTATCCGCTTACAGACCGGTTCTGAGTCAAAACATGAGCCGACAGTCGTGGTATTGTTCGCCAACCTAACAACAATTCTAATAAGGCAATCTTTTGATCTGCATGAATAACTTGCACTTCCAAGTCATTATCCAAGATAAAAACAGCATGCTTTATAATTCTATTGATTAAAATATTCATAATTATGTCGATGTTGTCAAATTTGATCCAGCATTAAAAATTATCAGTCTTCTGCTATCGTGTGGGCTGAATGGTGTCAGACTTTGTTCGATGGAATACTATTTAGGCTCACCATTCATTACCTGTCATTGCCATACTGTTCAGATGTTATGAGATTATAGCAGAGGCTACCATGTTGTAAATAGACGAGTCTGCCCATGTCATGGACTGAGGGATAAATCATACACATAGTGAAACCAATATCTGGTTTTGTTAGGTAGTGATTTTTACCCGACCGCGCCAGAAGGAGGGTTGTTAACTACTTTGTTCTATTTAATATTGGGGTAAAAAACTAAAATACTGTACAATTATTCTGCTACTATCATACATCGTTTATTCAAATAGATGAGATGTTTCATGTTCCATGACATGGGTTTTTTTGAGTATGTAATTGTATTCATAGAGTTCAGATTCAAATTCTTAGCTTTATAACATTGATGTTATCGTTGCGCAATATTTATTTAAATAAACCCAGCTACTTATTGGGACCATGCCGGATTTGTGTATTTTCTATTATACTGGCCATAATAAATATTTGTTTTCCTTTTTGTACCAAAACATTTGAATCTTGACTCTTTGAATACTGATTGATTGTAAATTGTACTTTTTATCACTAGCTCATAAGTCGAATAAGCCTTTTTCACTATCCACGGTACACGTTTTATATTATTTGCTAAATACCTTTAGTGGCCTAACGATAATAGTAGAAGTAAGGGCAATTTTGAGGCATGTATTAGACAGTTAACACTTACCGCCTCATCTCTTGATAAGGACTATTATTCAAACTAGCCCCTGGAATCTTAAATATGAGAATCAAAATGTGCCTGGTTTTGGTTTATTGTGGAATACATACATAAAGTTTGCAAAATCAAACCTATTGTTTTAGCAATTTTTCCTACTTAACATTGTCATGGTATACGTTTCTGCTAATATGTCTGCCGCGGAATTGCTCGCTTTATGTTGTGTAAAGATAGCCGCATTTACCTGTGTTTACAACTCTACTCACGTGCAAATCGTCTTCGTTTTGAACTGTATGTGTCTGATTTAAATGTTTTCTCTTAAGGCGATNCTGAGGCATATATTAGACAGTTAACACCAGTGGCGGGGCAAGACCTAAATTTGATGTGGGCAAGACAGATTTCGCGAGGCCTTTTTCTGTGGCGACCTGAAGACGGATTTTATATAAAAAAAAAAAAAAACGGGTCAACGGTCTATTCATTGACTAGTTTCTGATTTCTTGATTCAGTGATTATTTTTAAAGGAATATTGCGCCAAAGAATAATGTTCGTCACTTAAAACCGTGTTGTTGCTTAATCAGGGTGTCCACATTCTGGAAAGTCAGGGAAAGTCAGGGAAGAGTCAGGGAAGCTCATAGCAGTCAGGGAAAGTCAGTGAAATAGAGGGGTCACCTGGAAAGTCAGGGAAACATTGAGATTTTGTCTACCAAAACACTGTTTGTCTCCCGAAATTTCCAAGTGATTGTAAAATGAGGGATTTAATTAATTTATGCTCTAGAAAGACCTTTGATATTGACTATCGAAGCATTTTTTTTTCAGGTTTGGAGTGATCTACATTATGACTTTGTTTTTAGTCATAATTATGTTACTCCTTTTTAGTTTTTTCTCTAATGAAGTGGATTGATCTAAATTATGACATAATTTTGTTCATAATTCGCTTTCATATAGTTTTTTTGTTTCAGTACGTGGGACACTATTTAAGTTGTGAGCCTAACTATGAAAACAAAGTAGTTTATTATTAAAATGGTATTGATTGCGTTTATTAGTATTGTCTTTCATGATTTATGTACTTTTTAATGTGTCCGAAACACTTTTCATAGCATTTTTTCCACTCAGCTAGAGACACCTCCAAAGCATGGTTTTTGACCGCACCGACAGTTGCTTCTGGCTACATAAATCGCTGTTCACGCATTTAATTTTAATATATGGGTACCAAAAGAAGTGTTTAGATTCCTAGCAAGAATTTTGTAGCGTTGGACCTGTTTATTTCATATTTTGAGTGTTCAAATAGTCAGTTGTTTGACGAGACGTGTAAAAGCTCACATTTTCATCACGAATGGCGATTCGACTATGCTGGTCAGTTTCCCTTATTAAACTGAATACTTTTGGAAAAAAAGTGGCTGTTTACTATTAAGAATTAACCATTCTAAATTTCTCTAGTGACGTTTCTGTCATACAATCGGATATTTTGGAAAAATAGGCGACCGAAAGTTTCAAAGTGTTCCGAGCGCATGGGTCTTTTGTTGGAATTGGTTCATCTTAACACACCTCCATAGTCGATAGCTGTTTATTTTCAGGATCATTATGCATAGATCCTTAATTCGTTAACTGTCACAATTTTAAAAACGGCTTTTAAAGCTTTTTAAACGTAATAATCAAACATTTCCAAGGACTAAACGACACAAGCGTCCTATTGAGCGTTTGAAAAATTTTGTGACATCCAGCGAGAAAAATACGTATTAACCATAATATGGTCATACAATATTTTATTACTGCTAGTGGAATTAATGCCTAGGATTATCTCAATCCTACGATATATCACATAACGAGATTTATCTTCCATTTTTCTGACAACATCAATGTTTTCCGCCACTATTAAGTCATTTTGGACGACTTTCGCAAAGTTCACTGGTGAGCCAATGACGTACAATATTATACTTCTTAAACTAGCGTTTTACAATGGTAAAGGACAGATCTTTATCACCAAAAGTGAAATTCAGCTAACCGCTTCAGTTTTGTATTGATTAACCACGTCGAAAGTCATAATAAATCTTCGCGCGAAAATTTCCGCAAGTCAATTCCATGTTTTTGTAGTCAAGATAATTTTCAATTCAATGTTAATAATACAAAACGTGCTCAAATGATAAAAAGTTTTGAATAAGGTTGTAGTCAAAAATGTCAAACTTTTCATTAAAAGTATCAGATGTCGTCTAACAACACGTTATGTTGTCAAGGCTCACAACTTAAATAGTGCCCTAGTAAAATGATATATTTTCTGTTGTCGATGTGAAAGTGCAACTTATAACTTATGTTTATTTCCATTTTTTTATAATTATTTATTGATTTGATTATTGAGTGCAGACTAGTGAGCAGTTCACTGTGAGTGTTATTAATACAGGGTGGAAACGATAAGTGATCTAATTCGATTATTTCTAAGAAAGTGCNGTGTCTGATTATGGCTGAATTTGTTTGGAAAAAAATATACTTTTTTAACTACATTGTTTAGCTATCAAGAATTTTTATTTAATAGTCAATGTTTGCATTTATTGTCGTATTGTGATATTGTCATCTCCACCTTGTCTACATTTTTTCAAAATTTTTGATGCGCGAGGCCCCTTGTTCCGCGAGGCCGTAGGCGGTGGCCCACGTCGCCTACGCCTTACGCCGCCTCTGGTTAACACTTACCGGCTCATCTCTTGATAAGGACTATTAATCAAACTAGCCCCTGGAATCTTAAATATGAGAAACAAAATGTGCCTGGTCTATTGTTATTGTGGAATAAAGATGATATAAATTTTACAAAATCAAACCTAATGGTTTAGCAATTTTTCCTACTTAACATTGTCA